CAGCCGATATGGTAAGACAAGCATAATAAGCCACATTAATTCCAGACGTCATTACCAGCCGATATGGTAAGACAAGCATAATAAGGCACAATAAATTCCAGACGTCATTACCAGCCGATATGGTAAGACAAGCATAATAAGGCACATTAAATTCCGGAGGTCATTACCAGCCGATATGGTAAGACAAGCATAATAAGGCACATTAAATTCCGGAAGTCATTACCAGCCGATATGGTAAGACAAGCATAATAAGGCACATTAAATTCCGAAGGTCATTATCAGCCGATATGGTAAGACAAGCATAATAAGGCGCAATAAATTCCGAAGGTCATTACCAGCCGATATGGTAAGACAAGCATAATAAGGCACATTAATTCCAGACGTCATTACCAGCCGATATGGTACGACAAGCATAAGGCACATTAAATTCCAGAGGTCATTACCAGCCGATATGGTAAGACAAGCATAATAAGGTACATTAATTCCAGACGTCATTACCAGCCAATAGGGTAAGACAAGCATACGAAGGCACATTAAATTCCAGAGGTCATTACCAGCCGATATGGTAAGACAAGCATAATAAGGCACATTAATTCCAGACGTCATTACCAGCCGATATGGTAGGCTAAGACAAACATAATATAATAACAATAATAATAAAATGGTTTATTCACACATTATCGCACGAACATTGTGAATTACAACGTGTGTACATATTTAGAATATTCAGTAAAATCTATTATATACATGCATGTAAAAATTTGTAAGCAGATTAAAATCCATTATGAACAAGCAAGTATCGCTATTACTATTAAATTTGATATCACATGCAAACTATTGTTTTGAAACGATCGAACACATAGCTGGAATAAGCTATCTTTATATCGATCTGTCCAGCATTTAATTAGGTACACTATAGTTCGTGATATTCCGTAGGCAGCGTCCATGTATGTCTTCTCGTGTCAGTGGTAATAGACCATGGAGTTGGGAATTAGGTTCCTGGATCTTTTTCAATGTTTTATGGCACGGAATGTGTCGTCTATCTTCTAAACGAGAGCATCGTTAGGCACATTAATTCGGGATGTCGTTACCAGCCAATATGGTAAGATAAGCATAATGAGGCACATTAATTCTGGACGTCATTACCAGCTGATATGGCAAGACAAGTCTAGTCAGGCACATTAATTCCGGATGTCATCCCCCCTTACAGAACTCACCTTGGCTCCAAAAAAAATAAATAAAGCTGCTACCAGCTGATATGGTATCTTATAGAACATGATTAAATTAGAAGCGCCATACTTCGAAGCAAAACTTCGCGAAGCGAAACAAAATTACAAAGCGAAACAAAATGAACTGTCCAGTATTAAGAGCACGTGACGAAATCCATGCGGGAGTCGTGTCTCGCGAGCATAATCACTTCCGAAATGAACAACGATCAACAAACAAATTATAGGTCGCCATATTTTTTCGGTACTTTCGCATAAACACAAAACAAAACAAAAAACAAGAAACGATTGGCTATATTAAACAAGTTCACTTGCCAGATCAACTGCCTAAACCAAGACCAGGGAAATGTTAGACTGTGGAACGAACAGTCTACGACGGGATGCACAGTATAAGATTTGGACAACTTGTCGATTTCACAGACGTAGCTTGCTGTCGTTTACAGACAGTTCACAGTATGATGAGCAAACGTAAACGGCTCAGTTCGGTGTAGTAACAGACAGGTCTCAGTATGGTGAAAAACACAGTTCGCGCTAAAAGTGCAAAACTGCAAGTAAACCCACTTACCCAAGGGGTAGCTTGTCACTACCATACCCGCGAGGACACAACAGACAGACACATATTTGTATTATTCCTCTTTGTTGTTTTTTCTCTATTAATTTAACTGTGTATAATATTAATTCTCACATTGCCCCCAAAGCAGACTGAATCCTAAATATCATCCGCAAAACTGTCGATGAAAGTCAATGAAGACTAGACTACCACTTGCCTTAGTCAAGTTACGATTGGGTGATCAGGCGAGCCGCCAAGTCCTTCAATAATGCTAGAAGGAGTACGACTGTACATTTAGTATGTGGGATCAGTCGCAAGCACTCCTGCAAGTTAAAGCGAGATAGTACGTCAGCAATTAAGGTTCTGTTTACCAGGGACATTTCCGCAGATATGCGAAAATCGTATTTTGCCGCCACTAAAATTAGAGCGAATGAATTTCTGGTTGGGTTTGGATGAGCGAAGAAATGTGCGGCCAAGTGCCACAACCACACTGGCATGGCTGAATTTACCCACCAAGGATTCTAATTCCTTATGTGTGTAACGCTTCTTGTTCTTCCACGCTACTATCGTGATTCGCAGTTCGAGTAATTTATTATCAGGCAAACGTGCTGTCATGGTGATCGAGTTCAGTTCGCTGCTGAGAAAAGTAACTATCATTCTGATGGCATCTGGAACAGTACTGTACACGACTGGAAATTCGTTTTTCAAGATACCAACATTAACGCTATGATCAGTTACAAATGATACGTCTAAAAATTAGCCGCCATGTCTTTGGTTTGTTTTTCTTCAGAATTACTCCAAAGGCAAAGCGAATGCTGTATAATTTGGAGAGGGAGGGTGGTCAAAAGGCCCAATCCCCACCACGCATGAATTTCTTCAGCCAGATACTTATCAATAACATGTGGATGTATGAGCATCCGCTCAGGAACAGTTTGACTGTGTGGATATTAGAGGAATTCATCTCTATAACAAACTCTGTGTGAAAAAAACCCTCTTGAAACCATTAAGGCAGTAATTAACTTTTATACGATCAGGATGTGCTGTCACTTGCGTGTGCAAATGTCAACGTTAATAGGAAAGTTATCTGATACCGCTATAACTAAGTATTCTGTCAAGCCAGACCGCCCGGAAATGGCCGCCTGTGGAGTTTCACCTAACTCGCCTGATGACTGGGCACGTTTTGAAAAAAAAACAGCGGGATCTGCAAACTGAGTTTGCAACTTCAGGAAGTGAGCAAGGCTAATCGCATTATTAATTGCCGCAATAAGATGTCATCAATCCAGGTTCAGTGGCTTAAACGCAGTGTGAAACCAAGACAAGTAAATAAGTTAATTTTCTGTTATACATGCATTCATGTAACAGTGTACCATATTGGCAATATACCAGGATGAAATTTTACACTGTCGACGTTGACTGTTAGGGCCAGGCGATAGCGGAGAAACATATTTACAACTATTTCGCGATAGTTGCAACAAAACAATGGAGCATACAACATACCTGTGTTCTGCCGAGACTGTGAGCCTCCTACCTGAGTCTGTAGCTGATAGACCGTCCGCGTAGTAGCCCGAGACGTGTTTGCAGGATTCCCCAGTTCTTCCAAACCGGCGCTCTCGGGTCGATCGGTGCGCTTGACTGGCGCAAAACTTGAGTAATTGCCGCTTGAAGGCCCGTTGCAAACTCCGGTGATTGGAAAGCAGAACTCTGCCAGACGCCATAGCCAATTCGTACAGGCAACCACTCAAAACGCGCAACACGTACACAAAATAACAAAAATATATATATATCCAAAGCGCACGTTGTCATCGTTTGGACGTCAGACTTGGAATGATAGATGTCACCTACTCCCATTGCGCCATTCCCCCGGTCATGTGACGTGCCAACGTCAGAATACCTGGTTCCCAAGTTGCTAACATTGGTTATTGCATAACCTCATGAAATGCCATTTCCTATAGGAATTCCTATAGGATCCTATAGGAATAGAATTCCTATAGGAATTTCCTATAGGAATAGAATTCCTATAGGAATTTCCTATAGGAATTATTTCCAATAGGAATTCCTATAGGATCCTATAGGAATACAATTCCTATAGGAATTTCCTATAGGAATTCCAACAGGATCCTATAGGAATAGATTTCCTATAGGAATAGATTTCCTATAGGAATTTCCTATAGGAATTGAATTCCTATAGGAACTTCCTATAGGAATTTCCTATAGGAAAATAAATTTTCTAATAAATAAATTAATTTTTGAATTTCCTATAGGAATTCGTATAGGATGTTGTATAGAATCCTATTGCTGCTATTATATGTTTTTACTCTGTTTTTTATAGCAAAATACAAAACAAGTGTAACTCCAAAGATCGATATCGACTTACATTGATATATATATTGTTATTGATCTTTGGAGTTACACTTGTTTTGTATTTTGCTAAAATACTCAGTGGTTATGTTTTTAGTATCAATGTGTTTGGCTAGCTAGGATTTCTATAATTCCTGATGGTCCCTATATAAATGCAAGCATTCCTATTGGAATTTTATCCCTATAAGAATATAAGATACAGCCAATCGTTCACGCTTCAACTGGATGCCCTGGTGACTAGTTTACGTTTCAGAGCGCAAAGCCAAAGATTAAGTATGTAAAGATGGCCGACTCGTGGAAAATCCTGTCCCCACTTTTTCATTGCGCATGCGTGAGAGTCTGGTAAGCGCCGAACTAAATTTTTGTATTGAAGTTAATGGAGAAATACCGAATTTTCACAATAAAACAGCGATTTTAAAAACATCTGTCGTCCGATCTTTATTTTGAAGACAAAATTTGAAAGAATATGTCAAGCTGCGTCTGTTGAACAGTAGATTATTACACGAATATGTTTAAAATGAACGAAAATTTGGATAAATGACCTCCGAAGGAGTGAGATCTTAATCATCTTATACTGTCAACAAGTCAGGTGAGGTTCTTTTCATTTCTTGATCATTTTTCGATATGGATATAAGACTATTACTAACTGACACTAAAAACATGTTTGGGATGCGTATAACTAGAGTTTTTATATATATACAAAGACAATTTACTGCAGAGTTTGATCGTTCTATTTATAATAAGACTCCACAGCCTGAAACTGAATCGTGCAGTAATTTTAACGTATTTCTAATGTCTTGGTGATTTTACGTTATTATAATGTCAAATGCTATTTGTATGCGTTGCTTGGATGTCTTGGATAGTTCTAAAAAATAAAGAATGCAGACACGAAAACTCACTGTGCTTGTATGATTCGAGTATCAGAGACCTCATCCAGAACTTGATGTGTATAAACCAAAGAAACAATTAATAGACATTATGTCTATTATTTCTATGGTATAAACATGCCTTTTATATTTGGGTTGCGGGCTAATAAACAATTATAGGCTATAAATTTAAACTTGATAAATTTATACTTTTGATAAAAAGAAGAAAAAAAATTGTGCAAAAAACAGTTTATATTTGCCAATTGTGAAAATCAAGGTCAAAATCATTTATTATAATGTAAAATGTTTTAAAAACTAATATATACATTGAAATTATCAAAAAATATTAGGAATACATGTATAAAACAAGATAAATTGGAATGAATTACGTTTTTGCCTTTGAAAAACTAAATTTGTGTATTTTAGTATTGATCATTCACTACTGTACACAAATTTTACTATGTTTTTAAACCAAACCATTAAATATTCACAAAAGACACAAAATATGATGAAGTACTGTACATGCCAGTAATTTAATTTCCTTTCAAAACCTTAAACTTTGAATGTGCATGTTGTGTTATTACTTATTTGGACTCTTAAACTCAAGAAATTGTCTTTGTAGCAAGCACCTTGTCTGTCGTAAATCTGCTATATGTATTATGCACTTGTCATCG